TCTGGTGGTCGTGAGATTGTATGGCAGTTTGTCACTGGAAGGAGTACCAAATAAGTACATTAACCTTATACAGGCTCTCTACTCGAACACAACTGGTCGAGTGATAACTTATGGCGAGCTGTCATCACAATTGATTACCTCAAATGGTGTTCGTCAGGGCTGTCCACTCTCTCCATTCTTGTTTAACTTTGTCGTTGACCTGATTTTAGAGATAACAATTTCATCTAAATTTCCAGGAGATTAACTTGTTGACTTAGAATATGCCGATAAAATAGTTCTTTTTGGTGAAGACGCTGACAAAATACAGTCTTCTGACTATTATAAGCAACGATGCAAGCATGTTCGGGCTGCGATTCTCTTCGTCGAAATGCAAAATGTTGCTTCAGGATTGGGTTGCATTGACACCCGAACTAATGATAAGGAGTGAAGTGGTTGAGCGTGTCGACCGCTTCACTTATCTTGGAAGTCTCATCAGCCCTTTTGGTCTGGTGTGTGACAAAATCTCAGCACGGATACAAAAGGCTCGACTAGCTTTTGCCAACGTGTATCATTTATGGAGTAGGCGAGATATCCGTCTACCAAGCAAAGGACGGGTTTAATGCACAGCCGTTCGTTCCGTCCTACTTTATGGCAGTGAAACATGGCCGGTAAGAGTAGAGAATATTCGTAGGTTACTAGTATTTGATCATAGGTGTCTTCGAAAGATTGCTCGTATATCCTGGGACCATCGAGTAATTAACGCGGTTGTTAAGAAACGGGCACTAGGTAAGGATGGCAAATCAATTGATGAAGTAGTGAAACTTCATCAATTGAGATGGCTGAGACACGTGTTACGTATGCCCAACCACCGAATGCCTCGATGTGCGATGTTTTGTTGTATAGGAGTAGATTGGAAGAAAGCTAGGGGCGGCCAGATCAAAACATGGCACAAGTCCATGAAGTCACTGACAAGTGGACTGAGTCATGTTGGTAGGTGTAGACTACCTGGTTGGGGACCGCGAGATGATAGTAACCGATGGTTAGAGACCTTGAATGACATGGCTCAAAACCGTTTGCAATGGCGCAAGTGCATCCACTCTTCGTATTCTCCCAAATTCTAATCTTCTGAATTCTTCCCGTCCCTTTCTGTTTTCTCTTTCCAAATTTATTTAACTGGATTATATACTTTGAATAACATCTTCAAACCCTAATGTCCCCAATTACTGCTTATACTCTTACCACCTCCACTGCTACGGGATTTGAATCGACAAGTGCATCTCTGTGCTAATGTGTTATGGCAACATGAACTGATGTACGTAAGTATGAAGTTCTACGTTGTTACCAACTGACTGATGTAATTGGCTTTCACAGCTACACCCGAATTGTGACGGCTAGCAATACTATCTGATTACACAAATCTAAGTAGATAGTGAGTTCAAACTTAATACTTAATGGTTGAATGACTAACACCCTAATAACTGAGCCTATTCAAAAATCATCATGTATTTCTCTATTCTTTCGGAAACAAGTTCCACCACCCTTGAATTATGTCTCCCTCCCTCTCTCTCTCTATAGATATATATCAGTATAAAAATGTTCAAACAAATGTGCACTAAATAAGAACACGTTCCTAATTGAAAAAATTAAGGAAATTTGAAACATGGATGAGTATCGATGTGATAAAGTGAGAGAGAGAGAAAAGGGACAAACAGACTAATTAATCAAGATGGAATGATCTATAAATGATTGTCATTAATTTTTCTTTCTATACAAAAAAAAGACAACAACATGGGAACACAAATGTTCCGTTGCCCTTATAGAAAAAGAAAAACAAACCAAATAATAACAAAGTTGCTGATGTAAGTAGTCTGTTTTTTTTTCTCTTATACTTCTTGTTGCTACTTCCCATAAGACAGGAAGTCAATTTTACTGTTTGTTTGTTTATTTTAATTATCTTTACAATTTCTCTTGCATAGCCATTAAGAATTTTTGTTGTTCATGTTGTATACTTGACAAAACATCCGGTATTGATATTTTATATTGTTCACATACTTTTAATTGTGCATTGACACCTTCACGTAATGCAATTAAATGTGATAAATCATTTTGTGTTTTAGCTTGTTTAATTGCCATATCGAAATGTTTTAATGCTTCATTGAATTGACCTTTTTCTACAGATAATTGACCAAGTAATTCATGAATTAATTCACATTTAGGATCTTTTTGAATACCTTCTATAAAGAAACATAATGCTGCATCACGATCTTGTTTCCATTTTAATTGTAGTAGGCCACGATGAGCATAAGCTAATCCAGAGTCTGGTGCAAGTGTTATTAGATCAGCAAATATTTTATCACTCTCTTTAAAATCACCACGTTCAGACAGGATCTATATGTATTGACAGGAGTAGTAGTAGGAGGAGGAGCAAAATGAAAATCAGTGATAATGGGGGATAAAAAAACAACATACATATGTATATCATTGATAACAATTTTTAGGCAAAACATGTTTAATCGATTAAATAATGAATTTTGCTTAAAAAAAAAACAAATGGATTAATAATCATAACACGCTATTGATGTTCTACACACACATTCACGCTGAACAGGTCGAAGGCTCCACTGACCATTTAAGATAGTTTCTTTTAGCAGACAATCACTTACAAAATGTTTAGTTGAAAATTAAATGCAGAAATTTATAATTCGGTCATTGACAGAGTTACATGATGATATTACACCAAGTCAACGTTCACAGTCCCAACAAACGAAATGAAATGATCGATCCACACATGAATGCATTGGTTGACAGTTAACGAAATTGCTTCAATAATTCGAAACGCTTATATCACTTATGTCTATAAATGCCATTTACTGTGAAAATGATATACTTATTGTATATTGTTCTTTTAAAGATGAGTATAATTATGCAGCACTTCGGTCTACATTACCTAACAATCGGGTAATATGTATGATCTTTGGAAGTGGAAAATATGCACCATCTGTTAGTATTTAATAACTGGTGTTACTGAAGTAATATCATGCAATCACTGATCGGTTAATAATAAAACAAGGAATAAAAAGTATGAAAGGTAGAGAGATTGAGTTCTTAAGAAAAGAATCAAGTTTTCTTTGTTTACGTTTGTGAGATATTAATTGAAATCAATCGTCAAAGACTTCCAATCAAAGTAGAATAAATGTATTCACTCTTTATCATCTTTTCTCATTGTGTCTTTTGAAACTATATTCCTAAAATCGAGTCTCTCTTTTTATAATTGTTATTACATTATTTCGACTTTATTTGTCATACTCATTTTGTTATGTTAATCTGGTATGACAATTTATACCAACTTACATATGTACCAGGATCTATGTTGATGATATCTACCTATCTATGTTTGCTGAGATCATGATAATGTGAGGTTAGACGCACGGTATTAGGGAATGATGGTAAACCAGTTGATGAGGTTGTGAATCTTCATCGACTGAGATGGTTGGGCCACGTGTTACGTATGCCAGAACACCGATTACCACGACGTGCAATGCTAACCGGTGTTCGGAATGGTTGGAAGAAAGTTAGGGGCGGTCAAACCAAAACAGGGCATCAGTCCACAAAGTCACTAACTTCTAGTCTGAGCCATGTTGGGAGATGCAGACTACTTGGTTGGGGTCCGCGTGACTATCGCAACCAATGGTTGGAGACTCTTGGTGACATGGCTCAGAATCGATCACAATGGCGTCGGTGTATACACTCTCTGTCTTCCCTTAAACTAAGAGATTAAAATCGCTTCATATCTTTCTTTCTACGAACTAATTCTTTCTTCCTGTACTATATCCTTATTACAATCTTTCTTTTATATATTACCACCTCTGAATTAGCTACTTTTATGAATCCGGTATCCATCTTGTTGTGTTAATGAGGTATGGCGAATTGGACCGATGCATATATGTGTCTGATCCTACGTTGTACCTGACTGAATGTGAAATTGCACAACTTGAACTAGTTACACATTTATCACAAGTCTTAACATTATTTATGATTGATTGTATAGGCTAAAATATGATGTATTGACGAGTTCATTGAGACATGCAAACCTAACAAAACTTAAAACCAATTAATTATTAACCTTACAAAAGAAATTAATATTTTCAGTACTTCAAACTAAACTAAGCACAACACTTTTGTACTTCAGAACCACCAAGTGAGTAATAATGAGGTTAGACATAGAATACTAGGGTAAAAATAAAAAATCGACTGATGAACCAGTAAATTTTTATCAATTGAGGTAATTAGGATATGTGTTACATATGCCCATCCACTACTTATCTCGACGATTCATGTTGGTTGGTGTAATAGTATGTTCAAAAAAGCTAGGAAAGGTCAAACCAACACGTGGTACTAGTCTACAGAGTCATTAACAATAGAACCAAGTCATATTAACAAGTGCATACTACTTGTTTGGGATCCATTTTACTATCATAACTACTGGTTGGATATTTTACATGATATAGATTAAAATCATCCGTAATGATGAAAGTGTATTCAACCTCAGTCTCTTTCCTTAGATCTTCAATTCCTAATCATACTATCTCTACTACTACTCTAGGATTTATTCAGAAAATTTTATCTGGTTGTGCTAATGGGGTATGAAAAAAACTTAAAACGATATAAACATGTATCAAAGTCTACGGCGCGTTTAACTGGCTAACTGACTATGTGACCGTATAATGATAATAATACCCATATCAATTTAGATTCATCATCTTAAAAATTCTCTAATCGAATAAACCAGCCTGTTTTTTTTTTCAAATTCTAATCGTCACAAAAATTACTGAATGTTTCTCCGTCTCCAAAAAAAAAACAAAACAAAAACCGAGAAATGTTTTCGTTTTGCTGAGTAAAAAACAAAAAAACATCGACACATTTACACAGTGACGTTTATCGATTAATCTTAAGGTAATTTCACTAACTTTTAATCATTACTTAATAGATTAACGTAATGTTTATATAAATCTAATCTAACGGCAAATAATCATGAAATCATTGAAATAAGTTGTTGCCATATGAAAAAAATACCAATAATACTATTATAGAAACAAACAAACAAACAAAAAAACAGAATCCACATAACTCTTATTCAATTTCAGATCACTATGATGACAAGAACAACGTATTGAGGGTGATTGAAAACAAACTGTCAACAACTGAAAGTTTGGAATTCTTTTTACATTGATAAAATGATACACCGCATTAACTAGCCCCTTGTGTGTCTTATAAATGTGATAAGTAACTACTTATTTGTCACGCATGTAATAATACTAATAATAATAAAGTATTTCAATTTCCTGATCTGAGAGAAATAATAAATAAGTAAAATGAGTTTCAAACTTAAGATCTCAATTGTTCATGATTTAAAGGAAGGAATAAAACCATATCGACTGATGGGATTGAGTATTCACACTAATTAACATCGATGTTAGACCTGGTAACTACAAAAATAGACTCTAAATCCTTAACAAGTACTTGGATTTTTCCTTATGTTCATAAAATAATCACAAAGTTTTATTGAGTGTATCAGGAATGCACAAGTGAACACTACCCAATAAAGTTGGAACTTTTATGATAAGCCAAATGGTTAACATACTCTCAACTGTTTTATTATTATTATATTTCAGCGTAGATGAATCCTAACGTTATAGAAAAAGAAACGTTTTGCATAACAGAATTCTCATGTTTGTTTCCGTTCAGAATGTAGCATTAATATTCCACTTTGAGATGATGAATAGAGTAAACCGTTTATTTTCTGGTAGAGTTTAAGTTTCTTAAAGTGCTAACACGTTTTCACACACACACACACACATAGCTAATTCATAGAAATGATCTACACACTCCATATGAAGATTAGGCAACAATTAAAGCTACAATGTAGCGAATTTCCCTACAAAAGTGAGCATACCCAAAAAGGAGTCTTTATATGTATTATTCAAGGACTGTGAAATTAAGTCACCTCTGGAAATCAGACAAAATATGTACGTGACAGTGTTTGATCGTATAAATATCTTCTTCATGGTATTCTGTATTCATATATTACGATGGAATTTACTAGGAAATAAGAATATGAAGTAAGAGAGTTGTTTGATTTAGTTGAGAATTAAATCAAGTTCTGAACATAAGTGATTTTGAATGATCTCACTGTGTTTGAGATCATGTTCTTTTTTGTTCGAATTTCAATCACTTTGTAAACATTTAGTCTGTGACAACACAAAATCGCTAACTTCAGTTACTGATCGAATGCACTCATTAACCAAAAAAACCTAATCGAAAACCTGATATTCTAATGCATAAGCAATATGTTGTATTATATGCCCTCCTGGTCACAACTGTCTACTTTCACAAATAAAATACTAGTTGTTATAAGAGTAGACGGCTCAGTGGTTATGGAATCGCACTTTTGACCACTAACTTCTAGGTTCGAACCTCCTCCCGCCTAATTCGGTTTCGGCAACAAAGTATTATTATTAACACTTACAATTAGAGTATGACTCATGCCTAAGTACCTGGAAATTAGTCTATATCTATCTTACCTGAGCAAATAAAGAATGAGTTTCCAAACAATTGGGATATTTCTTTACTAATCGACGAAACTCTTCAATACGAGAATCCACTTTACTAACATCACCAGCAGTTAATGCGCATCGATATAGGGTGTACAAACGCTGAGCCTGAAATTCAAAAAGCAGAAAAAACAATCCACAGAAAAAATTAAATCAATAACGAATGTAAATTACGAACAAATTATATTTTAGGGCGAAAAAGAGTGGATGAACATTAGGGAAGTATACACACTGAAGGATATATTTTAATAGGGATATTTTATAAACCAACGAGGTTCAGAATCATTGCAGACAGAAACAAAAGTTACTTAACGATTACTTAACACGAAAAGTTAAGCATTAAGATAGAATATTCGTAGTAGCAGTGGAATTTAGGAGGTGAGTCTCATTTTATCTAGGACTCATCAGTGGAGATTTTGATATTGGGAAACATTGGTAGCAAGTGTTGAATAATGAAGACTATCTACTAAAATTTTAGGTAACATTAGGACTGTATCATCCCACTTTACACGAATATTTAGAAACTACGGCACATTTCACACTCGCTACCAATGTTTTCAAATATCAAAATCTCCACCCGATGATGCTGGAAAAGTAAATCGAGAATGTGAACGATTAAAAAAGTTAATGAAATTACAGCAGATCAGTTTAAATGTTTGATTTTTGTTTGCAGATGTTGACATCCGCATCCGAATATTAATGCACATTGAGTAGGAACCTAACATCACTTCACAAATGGTCACAACCAAGTGTCAACTTTTGTTAAATCTCAAACATGATACAGCGATGGTGCGACTGAAGGCGAAATCTTATTCCGGGTCAGTGAATGCTGTCGAATCCTTAAAATCTTCCAAACAAAACACAGCAAAAACACAAGAACCTGCTGAGAAACCACCATCAAAATGTTGGCTTTGTGGAGCATGGCATTTAAGAACCAAAAGTACCGCCTCTGTCACTGCCTATCAAACGAAAGCTTATGGTTTATAGAATAACCTAGGGATAAAACTAAATATTATTATTTTACAAACTTTGAATTAAGTGATATAATGTTCCCAAAAATAGCTTCCAATGTTCGTCATGACTTTTTTCTTTCTATATTCACATCAATTGAAATAATTTGCTCACTGCATATTCAGTGATACAGTACGGTAATGTAGACCCATAAAACTATTAGCAAAAACACAAACTAACCAGATGCTTCCGTTTGGGCAACCAGGCATTATCACAGCCCTCACTCAAATCAATGATAACTACTACTGGCTATATTGTTATTATGAGGCGCATATGTATTTAGTGCCCCTTCGTACCAATGTTTATGTATTCAAATAAATAAATACTTTTTGGCTGTTAACAAAATCACCTGTTTCAGTTTGGGCACCCTTACAGTATCTCAGCTTATACATAAGTTCAACTATTTGTATGTCCCATACATATATCTTAGTCTCCTGTGTACCAATGTTCGTGTTTAAATAAATAAATAAACGACTATTCTGAACATACAAGACATCATTGCGCAATGTTGATATAGATATTTTCTAAATGAAGATCTTGTAGTAAAATCCTTAAATACACGTTAACAAGTGATAAGAAAATTGTGGCTTAGTAAATATTGAATGATTTAAATACTAGGAAATATCATCATCCCGCGGCCTGCTTGAATATATAGACTATCTGTTCCCTCCATTTAGATATTTCAACAAGCTACCTGCCTTTTGTTTGTCTTAACACATCATTATGTCCATTAATTGTATAATCTATTCAGACGCGTTTATGAAGTGTTTACGACCTTTCACTGTACAAGTTACAAAGAAGTACAATCATCAGAGACATCGTGGTGGTTGGCAATATGTATTGAAAGGAATGAATATTATTCGGATGTCGAGTCCTGGACTGCTAACATTTAATTAGCAATCACTCAATATTTATCGTCAGGATCGATCAAGAAATAAGAAACGGAAACTTGTTGAAACACTTTGTGCTGAGAATTCAATATTGCACTGAAAATATAATATTGAATAAAACCATAAACAATGAGACTAATAAACGATCATCATTCTCCAGCTTATGTTGATTTGTTATGTAACAGTCCACTCACCCACCTACCCACCAAAACTAACAAATACGTATAGCCAACTACTAACCTGTGCAACTGAAAATTCCGGTTTTAATTTAACAGCTGTATTCAAATCATGCAATGCTTCATCTAACTGGTCAGCTAATAGATTAATTTGACCTCGATGAAGATACACATCCGGACATTCAGGCCAAACATTTTGTGCACGTTGGAAATCATAAAGACAAGCAGCTACATCCTATGCATGTGAAAAATATGTATGAAGGTAAATGTGATACAATAAACTGTAAAATATAAGTGTGAAAAATTATCACTTTAAAAAAATGTGAATTTATGTACAAATAGTCTATGCCAAGAGCTTCTGATAAATTAGGGCTAATCAGACTTCCATCTTTTTAATAATATTATTGTCATTTAGACTATTTTGTTATACATTTTATGTCGATTTCATCTCATATGCTTGTATAGTGTATCATAACTTGGAGATTGAAACACGTTTATCTCCTGCGGAAAATGAAAAATAATATAACGAAAAGGTTGAAAATCAAGAATTAGAGGAAAGAATACAAAAAGTCGATCTACAGAAAGTGAGACGATACATACACACACGCACAATCACTGATAACAATCAATAATATCTGAATATGTCGAGATCAGAACAATTGGTTTGAACCGCTTACAACTTGTGAAGAAATTCTCACATCTCGCTACATTCGTGAAGTTTGAGGTCATATTGCTGACGTCAGTCAATCAATTATCATAAAAGTAAAACCAAGTACAAGTGAGCTTTGGCTTTAGTTGTCATACCAAATCGATACGATGAAGTGAAATTTCCAAGATCAATTAAAAACCAAATCGAAATAATTTAGCAAGAACATTAATAAGATCAAGAATATAGTAGGAAAAGGCTTAGTGAAAAGATGTATATGAGGAAATATTGAAATCCAAGACATAAAGAAAGGAAACGAATGTATCTGTGCTATTGTGAACTTTCCTGAGCCGTTTCATCCTCAAGCAACTCCAGTCACCAATCGCCGTTATCGTACAGACTCCAACCAGGTAATTTGCGTCCATCAACTTGTTTCAAACCAACAGTCATGGAATTTTATGGTCCGATTATGACACCAAGCTAAACATCGTTTACAAATAAGTTTAATGGGTGCGTTCGACGTAATCATCAGGAAAACTCGCTTGACCTTTATTCCACGGTAACTGGCTCCTGTTAGTAAAGTGTACCAACAATCTGAAATAACGCTTCCCATCTAGGATTCAAATCCATGTCACCTACTATCAACGACGTTATCACAATGACTTATTTGAGTTTTGACTGATCATCTTCCTTTAGTACTGAGATATTTACGCTGATTAATTGCTGAGAAGAAAAACTCAATATCATACTCATCTGATTCTTAGAACTACCAATCGAAATCGAAATGGTGAAAGATCACAATGGCGTCGGTGTATACACTCTCTGTCTTCTCTTAAACTAAGAGATTAAGATCACTTCACATCTTTCTTTCTACGAACTAATTCTTTCTTCCTATACTATATCCTTATTGCAATCTTTCTCCTATATATTACCACCTTTGACCTAACCACTCCTATGAATCCAGTGTTCATCTTGCTGTGCTAATGAGGTATGGCAACCTGGGCCGATGCATACATGTGCCTGGTCCTACGTTGTAGCTGACTGACTGACTGACTGTGTAGCTTACGGATATTGAGTATCTTACGTAGAAAACTGTTGATGAATGCTTGTACCTATTTGACGACATGTGTAGTAGTTATCCGATTCTTAGCTGTGTACAATAGAACTGTCTTGATGTTCGTATTGAAAATTATGACTATGGTGTTGTCTGACAGTCCGTGACTTCACATCTGCATCAAATCCCCCATTTTTACCAGTTGAACTGCTCAGGTACATAAACCTTTTCACCTGTTCCGAAGCGTCCCCATCAAGTGTGATTGAGTTGATGTTCTCTATGTTGTATTTTAGAATCTTGCTTTTTTCTTTGTGTATTTTGAGACATACGGATGTACAGGTTGTTACTACACCAGATTTCTTCACGTGGATTTTTTGCTGTGTATGAGACAGAAGAGCTAGGTTATCTGCAAAATCCAAATCGTCTAGTTGTATGCAAGCTGTCCCTTGTTTTCGTTGCTTTCCCTGAGATGTATAGGTCTTCACAATCCAGTCGATCATTAGAAGAAAGAGAAAGGGTGGGAGTAAGCAGCCATGTCTGACACTGATCTCCATTTGAAATGCATCTGTGAGCTGTCCTCCATACACAACTTTGCAGTGTAATCAGTTGTAGGAATTCCGTATGATGGTGACAATCTTCCCGAGTACATCATGTTGTCGAACAAGATTCCACAAAGTTCTTCTATCCACGTTGTCGAATGCTTTCTCATAGTCATGGAAGTTGATGTATAGTGATGGGTTGCATTCAATTGATTGTTGAACAATGGTTTGTGATGTCGTTACTTGGTCGATACTCGATTGATGCTCACGTAATTTAATGTGTTGATTTCGATATTGTTTGTCGACTGAATCTTTCATTCGGTTCAGCAATTCTGTTGAAAATCTTGTCCGGTTCTGATAACAGCGTGATTCCTCTTCAGTCTCTTTTTTCGTTAGCTTGACGAAGTATCCTCCTTCAAGTCTGTTGTTACTTGTTGTTACTCTCAAACGTTTTTTAACATAATGTCAGACATCTTTGCAGTTACTTCTATATCTGACTTCAGTGCCTCATCTGGTATATCGTCAGCTTCTGATAATTTCCCATATTTGAAGTGTCTGATAGCCATGGTGATTTCTTCGGTTGTTGGTGAAGTAAATGTACAATGCCTAGTTACGAAAAAATCCCATTTAAAACTAAAATAATATCTTAGAGTAAAAGCTCAACTATAAACACACAGATCGATTCAACTTACTTGATCAACTGACATTGATAAACATGCAGATTTAATCAATGCATTAACACGAACCACTAATGAAGCTCCAGAGTCCACCATACCAATATTTTGAAAACGTTCTTTTGCTTCTTCAGAACGTCCAGCTAATGCTTGATAAGTAGCGTGTAAAAGTGAAATTTGATTATATACTTCTTTAATATACACTTGAATAGATTCATTTGTTTTAATTTTATTGAGGGAATCAGTATTATTTGAATTTGTGGTGACGATATTGTTTTCTTCGCTGTCCAATTCATTTTCATTTCCATTATGTTCATTAGACTCAGGAGAGATGAGATTATCACTTGATTTTGAAATTGTTTCACTATCATCTAACTCAGATGATGAATTGATCAAATTCTTTACATCTGCGAACGACTTATCCGATAAGATCTAAGTAAAAACAACAAACAAACAGACAGAAATATAGCAGTATTTATAGTGATTAGTAGACAGTCAGCTTAATGCTACGTAGGACACACAGCACGAATGTATATTGAGTCAAGTTTCCATACGTCATTAGCATAACAAGATGAAATTATTAAGACAAATAGTGGAATAGTAGAAGTAGTAGCAGTATTATTGGTAGAAAACATTAAGCATGGATATTATAGCGTGAGAAGAAAGCATTTGTGGAATGATAGGTATAAGATAATTTTAAAATTTAAAATCTAACAAAGAAGATAAAGAAGGAATTCATCTGGAGCATTGTGAACGATTCTGAACCATATCACCCAGTCTTCAATCACTGATCACAGTTATCTTGCAGACTTTAACCACGTAGTCTGCATCTATTACCACACCTCAGACTAGCAATTTGTGGCTTTATGTACTGATGTCGCAAATTGGTTTGGTCACCTATTTTTCTTTTAATCTACCCTACAACAACTAACATTTCAAATAGGTGGTGGGGCACACGTTATACATTTCCCGACCATGTCAATTGATGAATATTCATTATCTTAACAAACTAGTATCCTGAGTATAATCTTAGCATCACCTATAAGTTGTTTTCAACATAAGTGAGCAACGCTTAGGAGAAATTATTACAAATGATGGAAAAATAGTTTGAGACAAATGTCAATAAGTTTCTCTTATTAAAGAGTATTTATATTGAGCAAGTTAGTTATTGAATTTATGGCGAAATGATCGGCAGTGGTTTTCATCGAGCCAGATCCAGTGAGATCTGTGAATATTTCCTTACATAACAAGATTTCCAATACAATAGTGTTGTCCTTTTGACTGCGTTTATGACAAAAGATTGTACAAGCCCGATGAAATAACACAAAAGCAGCTTCTAAATAACTGATGCAAATATTCCAAACTCAAAATGATGAGAAATTTCAGATGGGAAATCTAAAACAGTAGTAACCTCGTTGATCAAAGTTTATTTAACATATTTTGTGATTGATACTAATGGCATAATTATATTCATCGAAAATTATAGTGATACGATTGGATAATATTTGCTTCTAAATGAATTTATGGTGATTTTAAGATTTTTTTCTAAAACGGATTCTTTACATGTACTGTTTTTGACAGATAAATAGTAAAGAGTTAAATGTTGTATTGTATGGTGTTCGAGTGGAAATACTGAGAGTGAGAAAGGAAGTTTATTGACTAACTGAATCGGCATGTACAGTTCCTCATATATGTATCCCTTAGAAAATTAAACCAGCAAAACTGTCTCATTCCTAAGAAATGTAAGCCATTTCTTAGCCGATCGCATGCTCTTATCATCTGACCAACTTCGGATTAGCCTAATGTATAATTGTACCCTCCTGAAGTATGGGACTCACTTCTAGGATTCAGCTAAAGGAATTGGAATGAAGGTACATTATTAAGACAGTCAGTCTAATGCAACGTAGAATACGTAGCACAAATGGTCACATACCAAATCGATATAACAAGACGAAATTATCAAGGTAAATCCCAGAGAAATAGAAGTAGTAACAGTATTCGTGATAATAGAACAGATTAGGCATCCAAGATACAATTCACGAATAAATAAAACAGTGAAATAGGAAGAAGAATAGTGGGGAAGCATAGCAAGGACAAAGAGTGGATGTACTACTAATCTGATACAACTACCTATTGAGAAGACACAGAAAAGATGGGTGGTAAAAAAAGAACACCTAAGAAAAGATTTACACCAACTTCTGTGTAAGCGATATGCCTCTTCTCCTATTCTTCTACATGTACCAAAATTGAAGTTGGTAGCTTTTATATAAAACAATCTCCCTGACAAATCAGTTGCGTCCCTGACCTTAAAGACTAGTTCACGAAGCAATGGACGTCAGAAGACATACTTATATGGAAATCCATGAGATGAAACAGATCTACACAGCATATATATATTATCAATCATACATAACAGAATTTATAATAAAAGAAACACTCACTGATTCGAACAAATTAACGGCTTTCATCGCATGATCAGCTGACTGTTGATAATCACCTTTCGTCATATAATCTAAGGCTGAATTTACATTATTAAACGCTGATTGAAGAGGTTCTTTAAATTGCGTACAATCATATTGATTAGGATTGTTATTATTGGGTACTTCTGTGGTGCTGGGCATATTTGATACAGGATGATCATCAGTTACTCCGTTAACTGCAGTCTTAGTTTCAGTCAGTGAATTATGCTTGGATAGTTGTGAAGAATTAACTGTGAATGGATTACATGCGAATGCGCTAAATTGAAGAAAATGATGAGAGAAAAAATTGTTAAATATTAGCTGTATGAACAAGAAAACACACAAACAAAATACTGAGATGATGGAAAATATTCGTAGCTTAAGATGATTCTGAAAGTGTCGTAATCTCTGGCAGATGTTGACCACCAGGTTGGAATCTATGCAATAACTGCGCTCACAGTGATTGGAGACGTTAAGTTATGTGGTCCAGAGTAGGCTGAGACGGTTCAAATGTATTTACTCGTTGTTTTCCCTCTGGTGTTTGAGTCTTAGTATTCCTTCGTACATATCTTTTGCAACTATTTTTTCGATGATTTTTTCAATATTGTTAATTCTAATTGTTTGCTAATCCGGAACTTAGTGACTGAATATCGAACGCCTTGATCACTAAGCTAACGCTTCAAGACTCTAAATGATGATTAGCTCAATATACCGAAATTTGTCACAAACCTTTTGTGAAACAGTGAGTGAGAAATGCTTATTTATGCTTCATTATATGATTATGAAAAGCTAGAAATAGATTGGGATATTAAATAATGAGATGTAAAAGAATCTACGTGTAAGTAACAATTGAACTGATTACCCAAAATTAATTTAGCTCATCCTATCTAGGATAAGTGTGTGTACACAAACATTTAACTATGATAACATAGAAAGAAAAACAGACTTTGAGCTATACTGTTAAATATTACTGGTGGTTAAAACAAAATATTTATTCGTATGACCGTCCTAACTAATAAAATTTACAATTCCATATATTTTACTCAATGATTAATTAGTATGAAGAAATAAACATAAAAGGTAATACAGTGGTTAGAGCCCTCGTCTTTCTGACCGTAACTGATTCCCTGACATGGTAATTAGACTTGGATATTATGATGACTCAATTAAGCTATACTGGTTAAAATATTAGTTCTTTCAGATTATGACAGTAATAAATTGTTTCTTTCAATCAACTAACATCCTCAGTGGTGCTGCTACTCCACAATAGGAGAGAAATAAGAGAATATAGACCCTAAAAAAAGAACACCTTACCTTGCTCCATTGATTTCGGTCACCAGTGACTTTAATGTTTTAGAACCAACACATTTAAAGCGATTAATAAAGGGACGGTATGAGGTCAAACTCAAGTAATTCGGCCGTGGTTACGCTGCCAGTTCGTCAAGACCACTACTGACCCAGCTTTCTTTCCAACTTTATTTAAAAAGTACCCTACCACGGAGTGTGAGAAACCGCAAAGTGACAACTGCCTTGTTCAAAATCAAATCACACTCTCATTACTTGATATATTACTTTCGTTTTTTAACTTATTTATCTATTTGGACACATAAACAATGGTACAAAAGAGGCAATGAATACATATGCGCCACACAAGTCACTAGATTTGTGTGTGGGCTGTGATACTGCCCGAGTTCCCAAGCCGAAGCAAGTGGTTTTCTTAGGGGGAAACACACTGAGCCTTCAACATAAAGGTCGGATCCACAAGGCAGTGGAGCAATGTAAGGAGATACAGACCCATAGTAGCTGGTGACCAACAACTGATTCATACGCCATTTGTTCCCACAGGATATTGGAGCCCATGTGCACCATCGGCTTGGAATCAGGGTTTTCCAACTCCTTCCTCCATATCCACCGAACCGGTTAAAGCGCTGGACACTCGCTTTTCGTCTTCTCAGTTTCGTAAAAAATACCCCTACGGCGAGAAGACAGTGAGTAGGACTTCCCTGGCAGTGGCTGTATACGCGTGGCCATGTGAGAGCATTTTGAGAGGGAGAGTGGACTCTCCCCGCCCGCGGCCGTACCAGAGAATTTGGGGGCCTTGTTTATTATTTTTTTAACTGCTAAAAGTTAAGCTCGAATCACATATCTGTCTATTTAGGTTTAACCATATAAGAAACAGTATTATTATCACCATTATACAGAAAGCTGAGCAAGTTGAAATCTGAACATGCATGTAACCATAGATATGAACAGAAATAAATACTGTATAGATAATCAAAATCCACTAAGCTTTGCTTAATACAAATCTCAAAAGCCTGTTTAGACACATACATGTTTTTAGTTGGTACAGTAAGAGTATCAAATGTTGTATTATAAAGAATAGTAAACAATTTACAACAAAAATAAACTGAAAAGTGAAGAAGTCTAAATCGTTCAATAGGAGTAAAAACCATAAACTGGGATGAGAATCTCTAGATATCTGTTTCTAGTTTGAAAAAAATTTCATGGTCAGTGATTATAAACACTTGGATAGATTTTTTTTAAAGATCCAACGGTAGTCGCTGTATTCATATGGCATTTATTTTATTTTATTTATTTAAAACTGTTTAATCGATACAACAATTATTGAACATCCGGGACATAAATGTCATATTACAGAAGTAAATATACTATTACATGATATATTTAAAGTGGGGTGAATATACGAAATCAAGCCCCAAAACCATAAGGTGATCTCATTCCAGCGCTTTGAGTCAGCTGAGGCCTATATATAGGAAGTTTGTGTATAAATATCAGACCTGGATACCGTGCACTATAATAAATGGTGTCAGAGGTATGGGGATGGTTTCCATTTTTCAGTTCTCCACACGACGGAAGGATACTTTTTCTTAAGGTACCTTGAAAGATTAACTCGGTTGAGGGTGGGTCTTAACGATCTGAGAACATGACTACAGAGCCAAGGACAATTACTTGAGGCCGGTCATGGGTGGCCCTTTTAATGGGTAGTTTTATATATGTTTTACCTATGTAATTATTATTCAACTCTGAAAGGATATTGATTAAAACTGTAAGTTCGAAATTGGTTGAGAAATGGTTCATCTAAATTAAGTAATATATCAATTCATGCATTTTTACAGAAGAAATATTGTATTAATCTAAGGGTTCCAAATCTCCAAACTACTGAATTTCTTCAGATGCAATGTTGATCATATTAAATTTTCGCAATAACCAAATTCATAATGACAGACTGCTTCAGTTACCAGGTACAGATCAGTGTACTTGATTTTGAGGCACATTTTAAGTACGAAAACGAGTGACACAACTCAGTTACTAAATTTAAAGTATACAGAACTGAGTTCTAGCTTAGAACTAGGTAGCCGAAGACCTTTACGACAGTGTCATTGTTCCACGATCACAGTAATACATTATATATGACTACTGAAATCCGCACCCATGAATAGAGTGACCTAATCAATTCTCATTGGTATAAACAATATATGAAACCCTTTGAAATTAAAAACCTAAATGTTGCAATGAATAAAGTAAGATGAAAAAGAAAAAACTAAGAGATTTTAAGGTTAAAATCATCCATAAGAAAATAACGAGTTTAGTCTTTTTGTTTATTTGTTTTCTGAATAACCATTTAGTAAAAAGATATATAGTTATTGCGCTAAGTAGTATTATTATTATGATGATGATCATGCAAAGAAATGGTTTGTTTACATCACGGGTTTTCTAAACGTACATAAATAACACATACATACATAAACTAAACTGTCTTAAAAAAGATCTAATCGACACATTAGAAAAGGTATAAAACAATTTAATCAGATAAGTGATAAGAGTGATTATCTCACTCAAACTTTAACAGAAGTGTTAAAGGCAGTATTAGCATCATACACAAACTAGTCTTCTGTTTATTTCATGTTACATTATCAATACAACTAACACTGATAATCAATATTAATGGTAAAAGCATGTTAACAATGTTGATATTCGGCAATGTGAGTCCAGACAGTGGCAATAATCCAACCGATGTCACCATCTTGAGATATCGGTCTCGATGGCCTAGACATATATATATAAATATTATCCCAGTAGCTTCCATATCGGGCATTACTTGCCGACTATTCTGGAACTGGTTGGAAAAAGTGGGAAGGTGATCATTTTATGATATGGTGCTTGGGTAAGAAAGAAAACTGCACAGGATTGGTGTTTGTCGGTCCTTTGTGAACCCATGGTTGGAGTCCTTAAGTGAGAGGAACTTCCTCAGTTGAAAGGATTCGTCCTAGTTTTATTTTTCTTAATTGAACCCGCTTTTACCATAATTTACTACTTTTGCTCACTTATTCTTATCTATCCATTGCTTTTGATTATCCGCAACCTTCTTCATCTATCTCTTCACAATCTCATTTTCTGACTGTGTGGCACACATATATTTGGTGCTCTTCTGTACCAACATTTGAGTATAAATAAACATAATAAATACAACAAACTGCAATAAATAATATGAATACATGTTTAAATTTAAAGCAGCTTGGGATATTATCACAGTAAAGCAGTCGTCGTCAATCAATCATTTGCAAAATAGGACGTGGTACATATGTATCCATCGGTTCAAGTTGTAACACCAAATCAGTACAACTGGATGAAATTATCAGGCCAAATTCCAGAGTATTAAAAGTTAGGACAGTCTCAATGGTAGTACGAAGAAACGATTAGGCATAGACGATATGATTCAAAAGGAATGAATTAGTGAAATAAAACGTGTAGGATAAGTTTCTAACTAAAGACATAAAAGGAAGATAAAGAGCAGATACATCCTAGCCATGTCATTAAGCGTCACTAATTATCATCTACGGAAAATTGCATGAACCCCAACCAATATAGCCCAATCGAACAGTCAGTGATTTCGATGGGCTGGTGCCACGTCTCAGTTTGGGCAGCTCTATCTTTTTTCTTCCAAGTTACTACTATATCAGCTAGCATAGGGTGTCAACACAGGCGGTCGTTAGACACAAATAATATATTAATTAAGTCCTAACCACATCAATCGATTACGACTCGAAACCTAACCAATTGACTTACCGTTTTTCCCAAGTAGCTTGAGTCTAATTTTAGTATTGCTCACTTATTGTTCACAAAATACGGAAGCAATACTGCTTGGAAAGCATGAATGGTCAAACGCTAATAACCTGTTGGGACCCTCTATTTTTAAAAGCCGCGCTTTACAGCCATAAATTAGAAGAGAACGTAAAGTTAGTCAATGTAACCATCTTTTGGTTGGCAAACAAACAATTGGTCTACGCCATACGTGATGGAACCTAGCAAACGTCAAACAAACTTTTTAAAACCCATATTGAGATTTCGTCAGACACGGTGTATTAATATTTGGTTTCGATCACAGTAAGATCCAAAGGTTCGAATCTCCTTACGACAGCTTTAGTTTAGGCAAACAGAAAGGATGGCCAGCTTTTGGATTTAAAATACGGATCTAAAAAGCTCGGTACACAAACCTTGAGTTTACTAAGTTTGTTTTAGTTCTTAGCAAACGAGCATCTATCATCTCACCTCAAATAATTACGAATAAAGGAAGCTGATGGTAATTCATGCAATAATTTGGAACGTTCTTCTTGAGCTTTCTGTTGTCCAATTGTTTTGAGTACTTGATCCATGAAAACAATGTTGTCCTGAAATAAATAAATAAATAATAATAATGTGGATTATATATGTACACTCCATACAATTTATTTTGATAAAAACACAACGCAAGGAACGGCGAAGTGTATATGTAATCATAATTACCGTGTACATTATTGTGAGGCTTATTCGAATAACAAAATACAATACCTTCAAGTGTGTTCACCGCTTCCTCTCTCATTTGAGCCCTGGTTCTTTTTTAGACTATTAGAGTTCGCACTGAACAATTCTAGGGAATTACTAGTTAGCATACCGAATTCTACAACTTCTACTTATCACAGGAACTCAGTGAACGATTTTTACATTACAGAGAGTACGACCAGAATACGAAATTGAAACATCGATCCATGTGAATTAACGATAAATTTGACTCCTTATAGAAGTATGATGATGATGATGATGATGATGATGGTGATTACTTTTTGTCTGATACCTGGTAATGTAAAAATTGATTTCTGACGAAAATTGATAAAGTTAACCTCTCTAAATCAACTAATATAAAACCTAGGAGAAATATGGATCAATATAAGTTTCTGATTATCTAACTCATTTACCAAGAGCAAATTCATGTGCTTGGCTTTGAGCCACACTTTAAATATGACAGAGTGATACGGCGTGGCTTCCCAGACCAAAGTAGGTAGAGTAGAACTTGAACTTGAGACCGAGTGGTTGGAAGTCAAACACTTTAGCCACTAAGTCATTGAATGCAGATAAAAGGTGTAAAATAACACTGAAACTTAATAATTGGAAGGAGATAAGAATGAATAAACATCCCATCAGGCTCTGAACACGATGAAGAGCGACAACAAATCAGATCTACGTTAACCAAAAGTCTAAGGAACAACCGCGAGCAGTGGTGGGCAACGAAAGCAAAAGAGATGGAAAAGGCGGCGGCTATAGTGAACACAAGACAGCTCTACAGACTAATAAAAGAAACTGGAATTAATAAATCAAGTGTAAGTCAGACTATTTCGGAAAAAGACGACACCCTCATCTGTTCTCAGTTCAGACGTTTAGAACGATGGGCGGAACATTTTAGAGAACAGTTCAGCTGGCCTTAAGCTACCCTCCATTTCCAGACAGTGTGAATGGAACATTGAAGGAGGTCCCCCAACTCTAGCTGAAGTTCAAAAGGCTATAGTTAATCTCAAACGGGGAAGGGCAGCTGGTCCAGATGGATTAGCTCTAAAGGTCTTTAAGGATGGTGATCCAATTTTAGCGATTAGGTTGACTAATATTTTAGCTAAGATCTGGGAGTTAGACGTTATTCCATCTGACTGGTCACAATCACTTATCATCCCAATATATAAGGGGTCAAAATCATCCTGTGGTAACCATAGAGGGATTGATTTGACTACCATAGCATCTAAAATACTAGCCTCGATAATTATCGGGTGCTTAACAAGGACTCGTGAACTGAAAACATGAGAAAATCAGGCTGACTTCAGACCTGGTCGTGGCTGCATCGACCACATATTCACCATTCGTCAGGTTCTAGAACATAGGCATACTTATCGACGTCCGACAATGGTGGTCTTTCTCGACTTAAAAGCAGCATTTGACTCTGTAGACCGCGAGATTCTGTGGCAGTGTCTGTCATTGAAAGGCGTACCTCAGAAGTACATAAACCTTGTGAAGGCTCTTTAGTCGAACACTACCAGTCAAGTCAGAGCTTATGGCGAACTGTCATCCACTTTTGCAACCTCACGTGGTGTCCGTCAAGGCTGTCCACTTTCTCCATTTTTGTTTAACTTCATCATAGACCTATTGATGGAAATAACATTCTCGTCTACCGGATTCTCAGGTATTGATCTCCTTTCAGGAGGTCCACTTATCGACTTAGAATACGCAGATGACATAGTCCTGTTTGGTGAAGACGCTGATAAAATGCAGTCTTTTGGTAGCACTAAGCAACAATGCCAGAATGTTTGGAATGCGCTTCTCTCCCCCTAAATGCAAGTTGTTGCTTCAGAACTGGCCTGCGTCAGCACCTGAACTAAGGATAGGGAGTGAAGTTGTCGAACGCGTTGACAACTTCACTTATCTTGGAAGTCTGATCAGCCCTAATGGGTTGGTGTCTGACGAAATCTCAGCACGGATTCGAAAAGCTCGTTTGGCTATTGCCAACTTACGTCACCTATGGCGAAGGCGAGATATCCGTCTATCAATAAAAGGACGAGTATACTGCGCAGCGGTCCGTTCTGTTTTAACTTACGGCAGCGAAACATGGCCATCAAGAGTACAAGACGCTCGTAAGCTACCAGTATTTGAACACAGATGCCTTAGAAATATTGCTGGCGTCTGCTAGGATCACCAGGTAAGTAATAGTGAGGTCAGACTCAGGGTATTAGGGAATGATGGTAAACCAGTTGATGAGGTTGTGAATCTTCATCGATTGAGATGGTTGGGCCACGTGTTAGGTATGTCTGAACACCGATTACCACGACGTGCAATGCTAACCGGTGTTTGGAATGGTTGGAAGAAAGTTAGGGGCGGTCAAACCAAAACATGGCATCAGTCCACAAAGTCACTAACTTCTAGTCTGAGCCATGTTGGGAGATGCAAACTACTTGATTGGGATCCGTGTGACTATCGCAACCAATGGTTGGAGACTCTTGGTGACATGGCTCAGAATCGATCACAATGGCGTCGGTGTATACACTCTCTGTCTTCCCTTAAACTAAGAGATTAAAATCGCTTCATATCTTTCTTTCTACGAACGAATTCTTCCTTCCTGTACTAGATCCTTATTGAAATCTTTCTTTTATATATTACCACCTCTGAATTAACTACTTTTATGAATCCGGTATCCACCTTGTTGTGTTAATGAGGTATGGCGAATTGGACCGATGCATATATGTGTCTGGTCCTACGTTGTAGCTGACTGACTGACTGCTAGACTGTGACTAATTTCGAGTTATGTCACGTGGCTAATATTTATATTATCATGGCTGACAATCCGATCGATGAGTTCCCCTACTTTCATGTAATAAATAATATCAAATGGATACCTACTATACAAGTCAGATAACTTAAACGCCAATTCTGTACCTAATCTCAAAATAGTATTTATATCATATCATATAACACGAACAGGTCAGTCAAACAGTGTGCTACAAAAAGTTATCTGTAACACATTGTATAATCACGCAGGTTATTCAGAGCACAAACACTGGAGCCTTAAAGCCGGTTTAAATATTACTCAAGTACTAACATTAATGCTAACAACGTTTGCCAGTAGTTTCCATGTATATGTAGACACATACACACATTAGTAATCAATATATACCCAGCACTAAGAATGATGGGATACATAATTTACTAGTAACTAATCATAGGTATCTTGTGTTTGGTGAAACAATCAAATGAACAGTGTGTTAAGGTTACATTCGTACACAATCTATAAATATACATATTATTGTCATAAAAAAGAAAATCAGTTAATGATACTAATCACTTACAGCATTTTTAAATTTTTCAAAAATACAACAAGCTGTCATATCTAAAAGGCACTCATCCCATTTTTTTAATTTTTCATATAAATGTGCTCGACGATTTAATGCTTTCAAATAATGCGGTGTTAATGATAATGCAAGAGAACAATCTTCAATGGCAGATTCGTATTGACGTTGATTCTCTTTGGCTGCTGCACGATTTTGATAGAAAGCTGCACGTTCCTAAATAATTAAATAAAATACTGTACAAAATATGGTACAAAACAAATGAGAATATAATAAACACTACAATATATAGAAAATAGTTGCTAAGTGAAGTTTTTTTACATTTGTTTGGATTTTTTTACAACGATTAATGTAGTTTTCAAAATGATTGGACCTTAGAACTGTTTTACCATTTTCTACGTGTCAAAAATTCAGGTTTATGTTTATCACTCCTTTCTCATTTTTTTACTAGTGATATATTTGTAGAGGACTAATGTCTAGGTTATTTAAAAATGAAGAAAATCGATTATAAATAAAACTGAGTTAAGGAGAAAATAGACTATACACACCACTTGTCCTGAAACTGTAAACATGCTTCATACTCTATTCATAAGGATTTGGGAGGAAGGACAAGTGACACCGACAGACTGAAAAGAAGAACACCTCATCAATATATCAAAGAAAGGAGAGCTGAGCAAATGTGCGAACTACACAGGAATCACACTATAGTCAGTACCATGAAAGGTTTTCAACAGTGTTGCTGAACCGGATTAAAGATTCAGTAGACACTTAGTTAGATCAGTAGACCAGATTCAGTAAGGATCGGTCGTGCACAGAACAAATTGTGACATTACGGATCATCGTTGAACAATCAGTTGAATGGAATTCGTCACTATACATCAAATTTCTTGACTATGAGGAGTTTGACAGTGTGGATAGAACATGGCGGAAACTTCTTTGACACTATGGAGTACCTGAGAAAATCGTCATCATTCGGAATTCGTACGATGGATTGCACTGCAAAGTTGTGCATTTAGGACAGCTGGCAGACGCATTCAAAGTAAGGACCAGAATCAGACAAGGCTGCATACTCTCGCCCCCCTTTCTCTTTCTTTTGGTGGTTGACTGGATTATGAAGACCTCCACATTTGACGGGAAGCATGGAGTGAAATGAACAGGTTGGATACAACTAGACGATTTGGACTTCACAGATGACCTGACCCCTTTATCCCATACACATCAACAAGTGCAGGTCAAGACAAACAGTGTAGCAAAAGCCTCTACCTCTTCAGCAGTAGGCCTTAACATACACAAGGGAAAAGGCAAGATCCTTAAATATACAACAGAGAACATTAAGCCAATCACATTTGATGCAGAAGCTCTTGAACATGTGGAATCTTTCACTTACCTTGACAGAATCGTCGATAAACAAGGAGGATTAGAAGCAGACGTAAAAGTGAAGATTAGCAAAGCAAGGACAGTAATCCTACAGTTGAAGAATATACAAAACCCAAAGCAATTGTTAACCAATATCAAACTCGTAATCTTTAATACGAACATCAAGACAGTCCTACTGTACGGAGCTGGAACTTCGAGAACTACTATAACCATCATCAAAAGGAACAAGTATTAATGAACAACTGTCTACACAACATACTCAACATCCGTTGAGCAGATACCATCACAAACAACCTACTATGAGAGAGAGAGAGCAAACCAGCTTTCAGTTGAAGAGGAAATTAGCAAAAGACGTTGGAAGTGGATAGGACACACATCGAAGAAATCATTAAACTGTATCACGAGGCAATCGATAACTTGGAATCCTGAAGAGAAAGAGAAAAGAGGAATGCCAAAGGAAACACTGCGACGAGAATTGGAAGCAGATATGAAAAGGATGAATAGCAACTGGAAATGATTGCCAGGATAGAGTTGAGTAGAGAACGCTGGTGAGTGGGTTATGCTTTTCTATGAGGGTTAACAGGCGTAAGTAAATACTTGTCCTGAGAAGCTCATATGTCAGCTTTCCAAAAGCTCATACGTGATCAAAATATCAAGGATAACGGCTATTATTCAGGACAAACGTTAAAGCATTTACATCATTTTATGACGTTTCAATTATGTAAATTTAGTGTGGTTACTGTCTTGTCAGTAGGATGATAGTGTCATCCGAATAAGTCTATATTCCCTGATCTAGAAAGTAGTAATCGTTGGACTTACAAACCTTTGGAGTAGGTCTGGAATTTCCTCGATTATTTTGTAGTTAATGGTGTCCCGTAGTTCCAGTTTAGAGCTAAGTGTTATTCATTAACTTAAACACACAAACCAAAATATACGTAAGCCCAACAAATCATTGGATTTTTGTGGACTGTAATACTGCCCGGGTGCCTAAAACGGAAGTGGTCTTCTTAGGGGCTCTTCCCCGAGGCTTTGACTAAAAAATCTAATCAACAAAGCAATGGAACAACGTTAGGAGATGCAGTCCTGTGGTAGCCGATGGTCAACAATAGGTTCATACGCCATTTGTCCCCTTGGGATACTGGAGCCCATGTGCACCATTTGTTTTGGAATAAGGGTGGACTCTCCGTACCCACCAACTTGGTTTAAGTCCACGCTAAACAATGGCTTTTCGTCTTCGCAACTTCGTAAACACTTCCATGGGAGAAGGCAGTGAGTAGAACTTCCATGTTAGTAGCTGTATATTCGTGGTCATACGAGAGCATTTGGAGAGAGAGCCGACTCTTTCCATCCTCAGTTGTACCAGAGAATTTGACTGTGAGTCCAGTGGAAGTTAAAAGTGGATGGAATTAGATACAGTTAACCACCGTGGAGTCAGATTCTAGATTACATGTCTCTTAGAAAGGCTGTGAATCTTATTTGCGTATTATTATCGTAAAAACAATCTGGTCAAATGATATTTACAACAAATACTTATAGGTTGTACAATTTGAAACTTAGATTCACATACTGAGTTTTTGATTCCTGATTTCAATCGAGACAACACATATGACATTTAGTTGAATGCAGAAAGTGAGCTAGTCTAGATAGCATTTAAAGTTATGATAATCATGAAGCACCTTATTTAACGAGTACAGATTCGTATACTCAGCTATCAGCCGCATTTTGTGTGAGGGTCAGTGATTAGTATTCGGATACCCAAACAAGATGGTGAGTGGGGACTCGAACTTTCTACCTAGTGGTTAGAAGTCGAACCCCTTAATCACTAAATTAACTCTTCTCTCTAAAGTGGTGAAATAGAATTGGCACTTTGAAGAACGAAGAAGAATCAGTTTTTGGTCTGTGAACAAAGAAAAAGTTATATTGATCATATTTTAAACTAAGGTAACTAAGTTTGATAGTTGTACTGTATTTATCTATTTGAGCATATAAATATTGGTACAAAGGGGAACCGAATACATATGTGCCGCACAAGTTGTACTAACCTGAACTGCATCCAATGGACATTTCTTAAGTCCTTCATCATATAAACTTATTGCCTGAGAGTATTGTCCACCCTTGAAAAATTTATTTCCTTTTAGCTTTAACGCTAAAGCAGCCTCTAATGGTGTTTCTGGAGTAAGTTCTGCTTCACTCTTCTCTTCTGTAAAAAATGGATTTTTTAATGCCTACATTTTCTTTCAAAGAATAATTTGACATCAAATATTACTTAAATACAAATATTTTACTATAACTGAAAAACTTAACACATTTTCATCATCACATAGAGATTAAAGTAACGTGTCTGTTACAAACTGTTTGATTGTGAGATTCATTATTATGCTCACCAAACAGTTTGTAACAGAATACACAAAACCAAGTATTAAAGGCATCAACGTGACCATGTATAAGTGATCGCTGACCAAGTATGAAATAAAACTTGGTTAGTAAAACATTTGCTGAAGTTGTTATACTTTTTGGTAGTGATATTTCAGCCAAATCCCTTTCTAGTCACTCAGCTATTCTAGGTCTATGGTCGAGATTTCTATTTGAACACATAAACATTGGTACGAGAGGGCATCAAATGCATATGCGCCACACAATAACAATGAGCTTTTAAAGAGATAGAGAATGTAAAGTGCGTTTAATAAAACAAGAACAATGAACAGAAATGAGTGTATGGGAGTTAATAATAATAATGGGACAGTTCAGTTAGCAAAAATACAACCAAAAAGAATTATTTCAACGAAAGAAGTTGTGTTCATTTTCTATAAATAAAGTTACAGCAGGATCTCCACTGGCTTCTATTCTGGGCCATATCTGATAACGTCTCTAGCCACTGTGTCGCACCATCTCTCAGACCCCAACCAGGGAGTCGTGAAGGACCAACAGAAGCCACTCCTGTGCAGCTTTCTTCCATACCACGACGTCATGTCATTCACTGACCACCTCTCCGCTCTTTCCAACCAATCCCAGATTCGGAAAATAAAGCACGACGTGGAATTCTCTGGGACGACATTTATAGGACATGACCAAGCCACGAAGTCGGTGTTTCAAGATAGTTGCTATAGTTGAATTATCGTCGCCGTGTCCGAACACACGATGCCGAACCCCTGAATTATTAACATGGTGTTGCCACTGGATATCAGCAATCCTTCGGAGACAAAGATGATCAAACACAGAGTCGTCTAACATCGTCAACTCGGAGAGGCCAAGTTTCACAGGCACAGAGCAAAACTGCTCTGACCGACGCGTTGTAGATCCCACATTTAACAGCCAGATTAACATAAAGAAGGAGCCGAAGATGGCTTAGATTGACATAAAACGCTCTGGCTTTCACTATACGTGAATTGATATCATCACTCATGTCACCACCAGCACTTATGCAGCCACCCAGATACACGAACTTCTAGACTACTTCTATCTACTCACTGCTCAGGGTAAGTGCAGGATCTACGGGGTCCTGTCAGCCTCGTAAAAGTGCCTTGCACTATGAAGGTCCAAAGCACATATCATACCTACGGACACTAACTGCCAACTGATTAAGTGAGGATTGCATGGCTTGGGTATCATCGCACAGTAAGACAATAAAATGGAGCGGATTTTCATACGAATGTAATGCTTTATTCTCTCTTAAACTTATTAAACCTAAATCAAATCCATTACGCGCACAATAAGAAGTTGCCGCCTTGTAATTTGATACAAACCATATCTTGTGTGAAACGTGGCTGTCCTATTACATTTTTCAAACAGCCAAAGCAGTAATTCAGTCTACAACGTAGGGCCAGGCACATATGTACAACGGTCCAAGTTGCCACACCCCATTAGCACAACGAGATGAACACCAAATTCATAGAAGTAGTCACTTCAATGGTAGTAATGTATGAAAGAAAGACTGTGTATAAGGATACAGTACAGAAAGAAAGAATAAGTTCGTAGAAAGAAAGATATAGTGCGATTCCAATCTCATGGTTTAAGGGAGAACAAAGAGTGTGTACACCAACGCCATTGTGATCATCCGCATACTCAAGGTTGAAAAGTCTTTCTCTAGACAACAGATCCACACCACTTAGATATGGTAATACCAAGGTATGCAGCCAATTTTTGTGATTAACTCACATGAATATGAATGCTTCGGTTTTGGCACCCGGGCAATATCACAGCCCTCACATAAATCGAATGGTTTATGTGGCACATATCTATTTGGTGCCTCCTTGTACCAATTTTTATGTTTAAATAAAATAAATAAAGAGAATATGAATTATCAACGAACTTTCACTTACCAAACCAATAAGAACATGATTTAAGCAACTGAGTACTTAGGGGAATGTTATAAGTTCTACACCCAATTCTAGAGCAATGGTGTGATCTAACATTACGATATCTGCAACGAGACGTCTTAACAAGTAGTTTTACACTGGAAAATCATTTGGAATGTTATTTGGTATGCACGTAAGAGCTATTAAACTAACTAGAAACCGCTTATTAAGTAACGCGTTTAGTTATATATGCAGCCTCGTAAAAGGTGATATACATGATAGACAGCTAAGTCTAAGGATTAAAGATTGGAAAGTTGAGTAACACTACAGACGACGTTTTGACGGAGCGTCAGACAGTAGATTAAAATCACAACTACCTCAATAATATACGGAGAAAGTTAACGGGAAGAATTAGATCGGAATATAGGCGAGGTCTCATGAAGATTTGAACATGAACAGATATTCCCCTTGTAGAGTCAGTTAAAAACTCAGATTATATAGTGATAAGTATTATAGTTGTTACAGAAATCCTGACTATGATATATATATATATATATATATATATATATATATATATATTGCTAAACCAACTTACATCAGTTTGTTTGCTAAAACAACAAGACAACTCGGGACAGTGGAAAACGAAGCACTTCCTAAAAACTTATGACTTACTTTTGTTTCTGAGGTAATATACAAGGACGGTCAAACCGGCTATACCAAGCGGGATACCGATTGTGGCTGCGGTCCTCCAGGATATTCTGGAAAACAGTTTAGACTTCAAACTCTGTAAAAGTAATGAAAATATCTAGAAAGAACATACGTATGAGTTATTATCGACGACCAGACGGGATAACGACATGGTTTGCGGTGATAGAAGTAAATCCCGTCAGTAAACCACGAGTTCCGAGGAGCTTGAATAAAGCGCAGTAAATTCAAATTCCATGGTTTGCTTGACGAAAGTAGGAAACTATATGACTTGGGACTGTGTATGCTTATTAAGATATCATTCTTGGCGACAGATCGATGCACTTGTTGTTATTTCCCCCATGAATCTGAATGAAGTAAACATAAGTTAACAATGTGTGGTATGATCAGTAGGTTCAAATGGTTGTAGACGGAATAGGATAAGCTTTCGCTTAGCAGGCTTCCGTTTCTAGTAACAAGGGACCACCAAAACCTCCAGGCAGGAACCTAGGTATGTCAACAATAAAAGATGATAAAGAAATTGGTAAGTCGTAGTATGATACTATCCTTAATCCTTAAGAATAGATCAAGTTGCCTCTTAAAGGACTCCTGGGAAGTCGCTTGGACTAGCTCGGCCGGCAGCTTATTTCGGAATTTAACAACTCTTAAGGATTAGAAGTTGTGTCCACAGTCCGTTCTGCTATGTTGTGTCCCCAGTTTCTGGGTGTTACCCCTTAGGTTAGTGTTCGAACTAAGCTTAGGCAGGTGTTTAACAGGATGTCCAGAAGTGTTAAGGATACTATAAGCCATTAATAGATCACCTCTAAGACGTCTATACTCTAATGGGCAGAGGTCTAGTGGATAGAGGTGCTCTTCGTAAGGTTTGAATTTGAGTCCTCGAACTGATTTCGTGGCTCGCCGTTGGATACGTTCCAAAGTGTCCTTATCCTTCTGGAGTGAGGGAGGAAGTACTATGTTTCCGTACTCTAAATGGGGACGGATGAAACTATTGAAGATTATATGGAAGGTTCTTCCGTCAAACTGGCCAAAAATGCGCTTCAATGTTACCAGTACATGGTTTGCTAGAAAGGCATTTTTGTCACAGTATAAGACTTTAAATCGTAGGGCATCAGGACTCCTAGATCTTTTTCGACTTGGGATACTACTAGAGAGGAGTTACCTAAGTTATAACTGTCGTCTGCGACATGTCTCAGATGGACTACTTTACACTTTGAAGTGTTAAAGGTAAGTCCGTTATCGTCTGCCGAACTTCGAAGTCGAGTCAGATCCTCCTGAAGTGCTTATATATCGTCTTGGTTGCGTTTCACATCATCGGCAAAAAGTAATAAGTCTGACGTTACCTGTTGAGGAAGATCATTTATGTAGATCAAGAAGAGAAGAGGTCCTAGTACTGAGCCCTGGGGGACCCCACTAGGACATTCCATAGCCTGAGATGAAGTAAAATTAACCCTGACCTTAAAATGTCAATTTTTCAGGTATGAAGTGAGCCAATCGATTAGAGGTGGTCCGATACCCAAACGTTTGAACTTATTGATAAGACATGTATGGTTAACCTTATCAAAAGCTTTTGAGAAATCTAGGTAGATGATATCAACCTTCCTCTTGTGATCGAGGATGCTTGTTCATCTGTCCACCGCAGTCAGCAGGTTGGTTATACAAGAATAACCCTTCCTGGGGTGAGAAGAAATTTAAGGACAGTAAATAGTCGTTTATACCATCGCATATCAGGGACAACATGATTTTTGAAGGTATTGAGAGAAGAGCCACCAGTCGGTAACTCTAAGGTTCTCTGCGTCGACTTCCTTTGAAAATTGGTGTGATGTGAGCCAGCTTCCAATTTTCCGGTGGTTTTCCTTGGCTTAGCGAATGTGGGAACATCACGCTAAGCGGCATTGCCAGGATTGAGGCTGCTTCCCTCAGTATGGCAGAATGGACAATATCCGGGCAAGGAGAAGTGTCTATTCTTAAGTGCTGCAGTTTCCGGAACACCAAGTCAGCGCTCAGGTTCACTTCGGAAAGTCCTTTGGAGTTGCAGATGAAGCTTTCATCAGTATAGTTGGTGTGGGTTGGTTGAAATGTTCGAGAGCATTATTCAGTCAGAAGGTTAGCGGCGTCGAAATGGAAGAAGCTTTCCCTTAACGGGCTTCTGGTAACGTTGGATTACCGATGCCTACTGATATATTTAACGGAAAGAGGAGAAATATCAGTAGATTTCAATGAAATACTGTTTTGAGTTCCTAAGCATATGTCGAGTCCTCACTCGAAAGACTCCTGTGAATTCGCATTAACCACAACATCTGGTAGTAAATTGCAGAATTTGACTACTCACAAACAGCTATAGGCATCCCTTTACTACATTTTAATATGAAGTGCCTCCTGTTTCTGGGTGCCACTAACAAGTTTTGTGATTGGACTGAGCTTTAGTAGGAATTTAAGGGAGTGCCAAACAGTATTTAGGATCCTGTAAGTCATTAGCAGGTCACCCCTGAGGTGCCAATACTCTAATGGGTAAGGATTGAGCGATTTTAGGCGCTCTTCACAAGGTTCGAGTTTAGTTATCTTCACCTTTGGATACGTTCGAATGTATTCTTAGTTTTTTGGAGTGACGGAATCAACACTATATTTCCATACTCTAAGTGGGGTTTACTAAAAAAGCGATGATTATGTGGGAAGTTCAACATTCCCAGTACAAGGTCCGTTGGGAAAGAATTCGTCTGCATATAGCATAAGCCTCAAGACTTAGACAATTTTCAACATAGGATACCTTTAAAGGGGAGACACCTGGGCTATTTGCGTAATCAGCTACATGTCTCATATCAACTACTCGACAATTTCAAGCGTGAAAAGTAAACCCGTCGTCATCTGCCAAATTTTCAAGCCGAGTCAAATATTCCAGAACTGATCTCGGTTACATGATAGGTTCAAACGGTTACGAGCGACATATTTGATGCTTTTGCTTAAAGGCCTTCCATGTTTAGTAGCAACTGACCAATGATCCTCAAAGAAAGAAAAAATTGTATAATTCACTGATGAAGAAGAATTACTAATAAGCTGTGATGAAGTACCGTCCTGCTGGGGAGTGGCTTGATACCACTTCTGACGACAGCGAATTCAATAACTTGGCCCGGACACTTAAATACCAATAAGCTGCTTATGGATAATAATGATAATAGGGTGTAGAATGTAGATATTTTGTCTATAAAACTGTGTTGTACATCTAAACTATGAGTATGGAACATACGTTTTATGCTGGAGCTGAACCTAAGTAGATATTGTATAGAGTACCCAAGTATACACAGGGCGGCCTAGATAGTTAAAAGGTTGCCTATAAGTTGTCTAGACGATAACAATTAAATATCCAGAGATTGAAGGTGTTTATCGCAAAACTTGAATTTGAACATTCGATTTAACCTCGTGGCTCGCTTTTAAATAAATTGGGAGTATTCTTGATCTTTTGGAGTAGAGGAAGCACAAAAATTCCTTACCCTAAGTGAAGTCGAAAGGAATTATTGAAGATTATGTTTAAAGTATCACTGTCAAACTAACCAAAAATGATCCTCAAAGGTACCAGTGTAAGGTTTTTTTAATAAGTATATTGTCACAGCATAAGAATTTAAATCGCGGGGAATCAAAACTAAATTTTTTTCAAACTTGGATATCTCTGAAGTGGATTCGCACGAAATGCACGTGTATTTCTCAACATATCTCAAATGGACTTCAAGTTGTAGAAGGTAACTTCATTGTCATCCGCCGGACTATGAAGTCGAGTCAGATCCCCCTGAAGTTCTAGCTTGTCATCATAGCAATACCAACCTACACCTAGACCGGTCTCTCAGCACTGAACTAAGTGAACGTCTGGCTTTCTTTAAAAGACTCAGCAAAATGTTCTGTTGTTATCGCTTCCGAAATCAAATTCCATAGCTTTCAGATTATAACCACGAAAGCGTTTGAACGAGCTTTGTGATTAAATTCTGCCCAAGTCTTTGCAATTTATGGGCTACTGGTGAAGGTTAGAACAACCGCAACGGGCATATATGTTTGTATCTGATAGCCTAACAACCTGATTATAGAGGATTTGTACCGCCAAGAAGTCTCGATACAGTTTATTTCGTACAGTAATATTTCCTCCCTCATAAACTTTGCGGAACAGGACTGAAAGATTGTAAAATATTATTCGACTTTCAGCATACCTTTTCTGCGTAAAGCTTAATCAAATGTCAGTCTAACCATACTGTCGGAAAACTGTCATTTGATCTAGGCTGCACGCCAGCTTGTAACATTGCTGTGACTGGACTTTAGCAGAAATGAGAACCTAATGGTTCAAGCTAGTGATTATTTTGGTTGATGCAGATACAACCAAAAATATCGGGCCATTCACACACTAACAAAGTCACTTCAACACTACCTGGATGATTTCTCAAGGTCTGCATTACCAACCTCGTGGTCGGTGCTACGGTAGATTATTCATCCTGCATGTCGACTAGCACATGGGCTGTGGAAATACTACTGACTACCTAGTCAAGGTATTTATGAGGCCAATAATTCCGAAACTCCAGTCACTTGATTAATAAGCTTGAACACATACCCCTCGTTTCGTATTAAAAAAGGGGACACTTCCCTTCACACTGAGGCCCAACAAAACTAAAAAAATTATCTATGATTTCCTATAATCAAACTGGTCAAAAACACAACTCAAAGATACTAATAGTTGAATTCATGAGTCAGTTGAAGCTGAACCACCACGAAAAACCGGGGTACCAGTCGAAGGTTGGCTCAAAAGTCGTCCCTATAACCAGTAGTATATGTATTAAATCATATCTATATCTTCCTCAAATTGCAATAATCACAATGGTCGGTCTCTAAGGTTGTATTTGTAATACTTCGGATGAACTAATTACACTTTTAAGAAATACTATATATTCCATCTGTTTGTCCAACTTTAAATTGGAATCAGATCTCACATAGGCGCTAACCGATTGCCGACCTTTTTTCTAAAGCTTTGCATCTTCAAGGGGATATTTCAGAACGTACCATGACGAGGGTCGAGGAAAAGTGAACTGTGGCATCCCTTTGAATTCATAAGACGGAAACAATTTCCAGTCTGTCTTAAAAAGAAACTACTAGGCACATCTTAAGCATGCTAGTATCCTTTTTGATTGAGACTAAACAGAAAAAACCAGCGGTACATAGGAATTCAAGGATAGTTTGGACCTTGTCGAGTATTTCAGTAAGAAATGGAGAAATCAATGTCTACTGTTAAGGAAAAATTATTTATTAAAAGAAACTGGTAGTACAAAGATAAATAGAGAATACCAGTAAATTCAACATAGAAAGTTTACCGAATTGAAAAAAGAACAAAAACGATATGTTTTCTGTAAGTAAAAAAAACTACGTTTATTAGAACAAAGTATTATTTAAAAACCACGAAAATTAGCTACAGCATTTACAATTTTCGGTGGACGATCGGCGCATAATTTAGGGAATTGATCTGCATCACAATTGATTAAATCACGTAATATCTGCAGATTACTTGGAACACTGACACCTAAATCATGCAGCATACTAAACAGATAACCTGAAACAAGTATAAACCATAAAAACGAGATAGACAGTATATTAATGATTTCCAACTGAAGCTGTATAACTAAGTTTTCAAGTAGAAAACGAATATTTTCGACTGGGAATCTGTAAAACAGTTTACATTGTGGACTGATTTTATTTGGAAAATGACTGAATCAGTTGTTAATGCTGTCCTAACTTCTGAGTCCACACAGCAATACATACCCATAAGATATCTATCGAGTTATTTATAAATCGCGTGGAGGAATCCTCTAAGTTAGAAATCTCTGATGTATATATTATTCGACTTCAGTGAATTTGCAGTCCAAT